TGCCTGTATCAACCCAGCGCTCAACCCAAATGAGTTCAGTGTTTGCCATAACACATCCCTGTCCACTCTGTCATAAATCTTTTCCAAGTCCACAAACGCCCAAAAACTTTTTAGTTTTTGGCCATAAACTTCTCCGCGATCATGCGCATGGAAAAGACCTGATCTGTACATCCCATTCCCTTTCTAAATCCATAACTCTTTCAATTAGTACCTTAGTACCTTTCATACAGTTTTCCCACAATGCTAAGAAGGCTGATACCACGGTAGTTTTTACAGTTCTGCTGTGATCCTTTTCCTTTATATATTAGGACTATTACGGCTTTGCACCAGTCTACCGGTACCCGCTTAAGTTCCCAACATAAATTAAACAAGGTGTACAGCAGGTCTGCCACCACTCCTTCTCCAGCCCTTAGCGTTTCGAGAGATACTCTATCATATCCGGCTGCCTTACCTGCTTTCATACTTTTCATTGCTTTCATTATTTCGTCTATACTTATGTCTCTATATATTTCCTCTTCTTTCGGAATTTCTATTTCATTTAATTCAAACGTCTCATCACTCATAAACACGCTTTCAGAGTATTCCTTCCATCTCCTTAAATCAAAACTTCGTCATCTAGAATACAGCCATTCTGGTCTCGTATAGCATTCATTCTAGGCTGTTTTGAATGTCCCCTGGCAATTCTTACGAGTTTCCAGAACATTTTAGTGTTTGCCTGGAAGTTATCCGATATTCTTCTATCATTCTTATCCGTCCTTTCTCGCTTTTTCCTTTCAATATCATCATTCATACCGCTAGAATTACTAGCCTTGGTTGCTAGTAAATCTAGCCATGCTTTCCTCTTTGCTTCAACTTCCATCCGTACATCATCACCCCACCATAACGTGTTATTTTTCCTTTCATTCGTTCTTTTACTTACACCACATACTTCGGTAGCTGCATCCACCAAACCTTTCTTGACATTATACCACACAGTCTCCAAGTCTAAATCATTCATACACAATTCAGCCATACCACTTGTATTTTTTCTCAATCTACATTTAAACTTCTCTTTCACACCTTCATCTTGTAACCTCTCTGTTCTTATATGTTGTAACGCAGTGGTAGACACAGATGTCCGAATCCTCCAATGTCTGAAAAGACCATTACGTCGGCATAAGACCAAGTAATGGTCCGTCCCTACGTTTGACCCCCAATAAACCCTTGTATCTACTACCGCGCTCCTAAAAGAAAAGAAATATATAATATAATTATATCGATATACTCAATGGAGCCTCAAAAAAAAATTAAATCATGGGCTTTATTACGCTATCTTTGACCAACGCCATTTTTCTACCGATTTCACACAGGAGGAAGAAGTCGACTGCATGTTTTTTATGTGTTACCTCATAACCTCCTTCTGGGTGAACTGATTTCGATGATTCTTATTTTGTTTTATAAGGAATTAACTTTTAAAAACAGTGTAATTATTTACCTTTTATATAAAAACTACCAAAAATCTTTCTATTGTACCCACTTATTTTTTTTTAATTTGTAGTTGCCTCCTACACTCACGCGGTGAAGGAAATAAGACTAAAGTATGCGACGTAAACGCGACGCGTAGGTAAAGGCGGAAACTCGTCATTTGAAGTAAATTCTGTTAATTTCAAGAAGCGTAATTTAGTAATTAAACTAATTCTAATAAAATTTTAGTTTTATAATTCATATAAATAACATTTAAATAATAATTGTTCTGAGCACAACAACTATGGTTCTGACTAAACGTAATGATCATATACTCTTTGGTTCTGAGGGGTCCTTTCTAAATATAACCATACTCTTTGGAGCGTTCTACAAAGGTGATCTTGGTGATTACCTCATGTGGTTTTCAAAGATTTGACAGATTAATATATACTTTTTGTCGCTAGTGATAGAGCGTATACGACGACGTCAATAATTACATCATTTACTTAAAATTGCTGCACAAGTATTCTGGATGATATCATTTTTTTTATACATGGTAGAGCCACTTTGCAGCTCTATTATGGTTGCAGCGCGAATGGGTCGATGCGACCTCAGTAGGATCCCTCTCCGAATACCAGTGTGAAATAGCAGCTTAATGCTGGTGTTTTATATGGCGAGTGAGTATTAAGAACCTATAACACCGCCCCCACGAAAGTGTTAATGTAGAATAAGGATCAGTATAATTAAAGTTATAGAAGCATCAGCACGCCTCTTTTCATTGACATCTTTTCTATATTATTATATTATACAGGATATTATTATATTACCATTGTTTTCACGCAATTATGCAACCAGTTACATTTCTTTTACGAAACCTGTTGCAACAATAAGTTTTTTCTGCAACAGGTTTCTAATAACCACGTAATCTTAACACGTTGTTTAGGTACTAATTGTTTTGTTCGTTACTAGGTAGCTAACTATTTCGTTTTGAAACTAAAGCAATGAAAAATATAATTTATTGGTGGGCAATAAAACTTAAATAAACAATTGTTTACAGTATGTATGATGTACTAATATTTTAATTTTTAAGTACATTTGAAATAATTGACCAACTTTTTGGTTGAAAATTAAGTCATTATAAATAAAAAGTAACAAAATTGACAACGCATTGGTAGCAGTGTTAAAGCATTTAGCAATTGGCGCAACCTATTGTGCAATAACGTTTAGTTCTTGGACGTTACTGAAAAAATGACTAAAATAGTCAACACACAAAAAAGGCACCTAGCACGACGTTACAATTCAACATTAACTTCCAAAAACAATTAACCGGGCCACGCCCTCGAAATGGAATGCGAGCATCAAATTCCAGGCCGTCTGTCCACTCGGCGTGCGCGCACGGTTCCGCGTCACACAAGCAAATTAAATATTACAAAATGCACTTCAACATACAATCACTATACAAATTGACGTAAATTACTTGCAAACGAAGTTACTTTAATCACTCAAATTCAAAAACAAACGCCTTGTAAACGTACTAACAAAAAAAAAAGACACGAATTAGAGGCTTCCTTTTGCACGCGACCTCGCAGTTCAACGGAGCAAAACGACAGTCTCGTGGCGCGCGACGCTTCGGCAAACGAGTCCCGTTATCTACACGTCATGCCGGCCAGGAATGCACCGCGTCGCGCGCTTCGTAATATTGCTTTTGAAATTTAGCATTTGGCGCAAACAATATGGTTGAAGAAGATCCGTCTATTTCCATTCGAGATATCTAACGACGCACTGGAGTACCGCACTCTACAGCACATCGGATTCTCAGAAATGGAGACTTCACCCTTATCACGTTACACGTGTGTGCAAACACTTCAACAACGTGACCACCCAACACGAGTTGCTTTTTGCAGAGAAATGCTGAGGCGAATGGATGAAGATCCTGAGTTTTTAGAAAAATTTTGTGGAGCGACGAGTCAACGTGTAAAAGAGACGGGTACCTTAACTTGCATAATCTGCACAGTTGGCAGCGAACAAACCCATATTTAATGAGAGAAGATAGGTCGCAATACTAATTTAAAATAAATTATTGGACAGGAATACTAAACGGAAGAATCATAGGCCCCTATGTATTGCCGGGTAAACTGAATGGGGCCAATTATTTAGAATTTCTGTAAAACGAGCTGCCCCATTTATTAGAAGATGAGCCACTAGTCATCCGGCGAAGAATGTAGCTCTAAAATGATGGTTGTCCGGCACATTACGCCGTTCAAGTAAGGAGTTACTTAAACGAGGCCTACCGTGATCGATGGATCGGCCGAATGGGGCCGATATTGTGGCCACCAAGATCACCTGATCTTAACCCATTAGATTTTTTTATTGGGGCTGGTTTATAAAAAACCAATTTAAACAATCGACGAACTTAGATTCCCGTCACAGACGCAGCAGGGGTTATATCAACCAAAAATTATCAAAGACTTTTAGAAAGATCGTTTGTAAAAAGACGTAGTGCCTGCATAAGGACAGGAGGAGGCCAGTTAGAGCATTTTCTGTAAATTATTTTAAATAAAAAAGAAATTGGATATAACAATTGTTTCATTTTCGTTTCATTAAGTTACGCATCCTTACCAGTAACAAAACAGTACAAACCATATTGTTACAGCTGTATATAATAGAACATGTCAAGTTTCACTGTTTGTCTCGCTCACACAGCTTAGAATTCGTCCAAACAAGGCAAGTAGGTAGTAAAGTAAAATTTTCAAGGGCGACAGATGTATTTACCTAATGAATACATGCAATGTTAAAAAAAACTATCTGCAAATAATTTTGTAATGAAATGCCTACTTTTACACATTAACGGCTATAGCTCAGTAAGTAATGACATTAAGTACATGGTATGCTAATGTTTTAGAATCCTCATGATGTAGGCAAACTTATTAAATGGTTGGCCACACAGCTTCCACACGTTTTTTTTTCACCACAGGTGCTTAAACTTAGCGGTTAACTAAAGTAAAAAAATAATAAACTTATGTTTAGTGCCGTCTTAAAAAATACTACCTATAACTTTTTAGGGTAATTTAGAAACATCATTATTAGGGAACACATTAAAAGAAAAAAAATCCGATCTAGGCATTAAACTGCGGACGTGATGTCCACAAATGTGAGCAGAACTACAAATTTTCGGAATTTTATAAAACATGGGGGAGAACATGCGCGAACCGATGGGGATAGAATTTTTTTTAGGAAACCGAGGACACCTCCCCTCCGCCCGAACATGTACGTACCAGATTATCCACCATTACTGGGACAACCTGTATGTACTACTTACCATCAGGTGGACTGTGTTCGTTTGTCACCTTATCCTATAAAAAAAATATTACAAACCGGAGACTATTTTTACTGAAAATGAGGCATCCCATCTTAGATCTCAGTGGTGACAACGCATCTGCATTTTCTTTCTTATTTGATATATTGGCCGCAGCATCCACTTACCATCAGGTGGACTGTGTGCTCGTTTGTCTTCCTTATTGTATAATAAATATATGTGCGTGTGCGTGCGCATGTAGGTGACGGTGCGCGGTACGTGGTGTGCGTGGTGTCGCCGGCGGCGGGCGCGCGCGTCAGCTGGAGCTCGGCCGTGGCGCGCCCGCTCGAGGCAGCGCGCTGGGCCGACCGCACCACCTACTTCTTCGCGCTGCACCACGCGCGCCCGCAGCCCTCCTGGCACCTCGAGCTGCACATACAGGTGCGACACATCACACACACACGCACACGGCGCGCTGGGCCGACCGCACCACCTACTTCTTCGCGCTGCACCACGCGCGCCCGCAGCCCTCCTGGCACCTCGAGCTGCACATACAGGTGCGACACATCACACACACACGCACACGGCGCGCTGGGCCGACCGCACCACCTACTTCTTCGCGCTGCACCACGCGCGCCCGCAGCCCTCCTGGCACCTCGAGCTGCACATACAGGTGCGACACATCACACACACACGCACACAGCGCGCTGGGCCGACCGCACCACCTACTTCTTCGCGCTGCACCACGCGCGCCCGCAACCCTCCTGGCACCTCGAGCTGCACATACAGGTGCGACACATCACACACACACGCACACGGCGCGCTGGGCCGACCGCACCACCTACTTCTTCGCGCTGCACCACGCGCGCCCGCAGCCCTCCTGGCACCTCGAGCTGCACATACAGGTACGACACATCACACACACACGTACACGGCGCGCTGGGCCGACCGCACCACCTACTTCTTCGCGCTGCACCACGCGCGCCCGCAGCCCTCCTGGCACCTCGAGCTGCACATACAGGTGCGACACATCACACACACACGCACACGGCACGCTGGGCCGACCGCACCACCTACTTCTTCGCGCTGCACCACGCGCGCCCGCAGCCCTCCCGGCACCTCGAGCTGCACATACAGGTGCGACACATCACACACACACGCACACGGCGCGCTGGGCCGACCGCACCACCTACTTCTTCGCGCTGCACCACGCGCGCCCGCAGCCCTCCTGGCACCTCGAGCTGCACATACAGGTGCGACACATCACACACACACGCACACGGCGCGCTGGGCCGACCGCACCACCTACTTCTTCGCGCTGCACCACGCGCGCCCGCAGCCCTCCTGGCACCTCGAGCTGCACATACAGGTGCGACACATCACTCACACACACACACGCACACGGCGCGCTGGGCCGACCGCACCACCTACTTCTTCGCGCTGCACCACGCGCGCCCGCAGCCCTCCTGGCACCTCGAGCTGCACATACAGGTGCGACACATCACACACACACGCACACGCATACGGCGCGCTGGGCCGACCGCACCACCTACTTCTTCGCGCTGCACCACGCGCGCCCGCAGCCCTCCTGGCACCTCGAGCTGCACATACAGGTGCGACACATCACACACACACGCACACGGCGCGCTGGGCCGACCGCACCACCTACTTCTTCGCGCTGCACCACGCGCGCCCGCAGCCCTCCTGGCACCTCGAGCTGCACATACAGGTGCGACACATCACACACACACGCACACGGCGCGCTGGGCCGACCGCACCACCTACTTCTTCGCGCTGCACCACGCGCGCCCGCAGCCCTCCTGGCACCTCGAGCTGCACATACAGGTGCGACACATCACACACACGCACACGGCGCGCTGGGCCGACCGCACCACCTACTTCTTCGCGCTGCACCACGCGCGCCCGCAGCCCTCCTGGCACCTCGAGCTGCACATACAGGTACGACACATCACACACACACGTACACGGCGCGCTGGGCCGACCGCACCACCTACTTCTTCGCGCTGCACCACGCGCGCCCGCAGCCCTCCTGGCACCTCGAGCTGCACATACAGGTGCGACACATCACACACACACGCACACGGCACGCTGGGCCGACTGCACCACCTACTTCTTCGCGCTGCACTACGCGCGCCCGCAGCCCTCCTGGCACCTCGAGCTGCACATACAGGTGCGACACATCACACACACACGCACACGGCGCGCTGGGCCGACCGCACCACCTACTTCTTCGCGCTGCACCACGCGCGCCCGCAGCCCTCCTGGCACCTCGAGCTGCACATACAGGTGCGACACATCACACACACACGCACACGGCGCGCTGGGCCGACCGCACCACCTACTTCTTCGCGCTGCACCACGCGCGCCCGCAGCCCTCCTGGCACCTCGAGCTGCACATACAGGTGCGACACATCACACACACACACACACGCACACGGCGCGCTGGGCCGACCGCACCACCTACTTCTTCGCGCTGCACCACGCGCGCCCGCAGCCCTCCTGGCACCTCGAGCTGCACATACAGGTGCGACACATCACACACACACGCACACGGCGCGCTGGGCCGACCGCACCACCTACTTCTTCGCGCTGCACCACGCGCGCCCGCAGCCCTCCTGGCACCTCGAGCTGCACATACAGGTGCGACACATCACACACACGCACACGGCGCGCTGGGCCGACCGCACCACCTACTTCTTCGCGCTGCACCACGCGCGCCCGCAGCCCTCCTGGCACCTCGAGCTGCACATACAGGTGCGACACATCACACACACACGCACACGGCGCGCTGGGCCGACCGCACCACCTACTTCTTCGCGCTGCACCACGCGCGCCCGCAGCCCTCCTGGCACCTCGAGCTGCACATACAGGTGCGACACATCACACACACACGCACACGGCGCGCTGGGCCGACCGCACCACCTACTTCTTCGCGCTGCACCACGCGCGCCCGCAGCCCTCCTGGCACCTCGAGCTGCACATACAGGTGCGACACATCACACACACACGCACACGCATACGGCGCGCTGGGCCGACCGCACCACCTACTTCTTCGCGCTGCACCACGCGCGCCCGCAGCCCTCCTGGCACCTCGAGCTGCACATACAGGTGCGACACATCACACACACACGCACACGGAGCGCTGGGCCGACCGCACCACCTACTTCTTCGCGCTGCACCACGCGCGCCCGCAGCCCTCCTGGCACCTCGAGCTGCACATACAGGTGCGACACATCACACACACACGCACACGGCGCGCTGGGCCGACCGCACCACCTACTTCTTCGCGCTGCACCACGCGCGCCCGCAGCCCTCCTGGCACCTCGAGCTGCACATACAGGTGTGACACATCACACACACACGCACACGCATACGGCGCGCTGGGCCGACCGCACCACCTACTTCTTCGCGCTGCACCACGCGCGCCCGCAGCCCTCCTGGCACCTCGAGCTGCACATACAGGTGCGACACATCACACACACACGCACACGCATACGGCGCGCTGGGCCGACCGCACCACCTACTTCTTCGCGCTGCACCACGCGCGCCCGCAGCCCTCCTGGCACCTCGAGCTGCACATACAGGTGCGACACATCACACACACACGCACACGGAGCGCTGGGCCGACCGCACCACCTACTTCTTCGCGCTGCACCACGCGCGCCCGCAGCCCTCCTGGCACCTCGAGCTGCACATACAGGTGCGACACATCACACACACACGCACACGGCGCGCTGGGCCGACCGCACCACCTACTTCTTCGCGCTGCACCACGCGCGCCCGCAGCCCTCCTGGCACCTCGAGCTGCACATACAGGTGTGACACATCACACACACACGCACACGCATACGGCGCGCTGGGCCGACCGCACCACCTACTTCTTCGCGCTGCACCACGCGCGCCCGCAGCCCTCCTGGCACCTCGAGCTGCACATACAGGTGCGACACATCACACACACACGCACACGCATACGGCGCGCTGGGCCGACCGCACCACCTACTTCTTCGCGCTGCACCACGCGCGCCCGCAGCCCTCCTGGCACCTCGAGCTGCACATACAGGTGCGACACATCACACACACACGCACACGGCGCGCTGGGCCGACCGCACCACCTACTTCTTCGCTACCTGACTCGCGCTGTAATAGATAAATGAATGAAATAAAAACGAGTTTTGATACGAATCAAAAAACGCGATGTACACGAACGAAGAAAAATTTATCGTGACATAAAGTTGTTGTGATATGTGATTCCAGCATAACTTGGAGAAGGAGCCGGAGAAGTTAGTGGACGTGTCCGTGGCGGGGCACAGTCTGTTCGGCGAGGACAAGCTGCAGGAGGCGCACCGCCGGCTGCTGGCCGCGCTGCCCGCCTGGACCGCGCCCACCGGCTGGGGCATCGACCTGCACCTCTACTCGCTCTAGGCACGCGCAAACACGCACGCGCACGCTTATACACACACACATACACACCAACACACACAACCACACACAACATTGAAGTAATATTGAACTACATCAGGGGTTCCCAAACTTTATCAAAATTTGATATTTAATAGCGTCGCACTTACAGGTTTAGTATTTTGTCTCGGCGCCCTAACTGGTCGAAATGGGGTGCCAATGATACTACGTAAAAATAGGCACAAAAATTAAAACAATATGAAGGTGTATTTTTATATTTATATTGACACAGGAACAAATTTTTTATTTAAGAAAAATAGGAAATAAAATACGATAGCAACTTAGACAATATTACGTGTGAGCTTGGTGACCTCCACACATTTTATTCAAAGCATGGGATAAGGCTGGACACAGCTGCTCTCATTTCTTGCTCCACATTAATCTTTGAGCAATAGTTGCTCTTTATTACAGCTACAGTTGGAAATCCAGTTTATTTTGTACCCGCGAAGACATAAGTTTAGATTCGGGAGAATGGTAAACAGGCGCGTCTCACGGCGCCCCTCTTTAGTCTCTATGGCGCACTCTTTGAGGATCTCTGTACTACACACTAGAACAGACACCGCGAACAAAATCTATGCGGCAATTCGGGACACGTAGAAGGAGCCACAGAGTACCCTTTTATGGAAACAAGGCATTTCATCTTAGCCCACGGGAGTGACAACGCATCTAAATTTTGATTCTTAATCGGGGATACATGTAGATATCTATGAGCCACAGCATCCGCTTATCATCATGTGGAATGTGTACTTGTTCACTCTTTCTATAAAAAAAAAAAACTACATTTTACTAGAGAAGTCCATAGGGTACCAGAGAGTACATAATCTAATAAAAAAAAACTGTGATAAGATCACTACGTTTTATTTATACGTTTCCTTAAGTCTAAATCCTCAGATCATAGTTTCTATGATCTGAGTCTAAATCGATTTCGTTTGTGAATCGAAAAAAAAAACGAAGAAAAACCTTTCTTTTAAAATGCTACAGATAATAATATACTACATAACCTCAAAAAATATTGCATTATTAATAGATTTTTCTTACTTTTAAAAATACATTGAATGCCGTTCTTTTTTATATTTAAATAGGCACATGACTTATGAAGTTACGTTATATTAAATTTTACTAATCCAACCATTTTTTGAGAGTGGCCATTTTTCATTGGTACGATGTACGATGTAGTAAGAAAGTACGATGAATACAGCTTTAATGTATTGCAGTCCTTAAATTACTATAAAATAAAGCTCTGAAAAAAAAATACGCCTTATTGTAGCGTTTCGTTTTGCCCAGGCTCTCTTTTCTACTCACTTCAAACAGAGGAGGTACTCAATTCGACTGTATGTTTTTTTTTATGTGTGTTACCTCATAACTTTTTACTGGGTGAATCGATTTCGATGATTCTTTTTTTATTTGAAAGCTGGTACTTCTCATGTGGTCTCATATAAATTTGATAATAATCTGACCAATAGTTTTTGAGTTATTCTTAATAATTTATACTGAAGTCGGTTGTACAAAATTTTTCATTTATTAATTATTTGTAAAAATTGATGAAAAGGAACCTGTGTTATAGTGGCCGCGTGACCGTCCCATGTACCATTACGTAGGTATATAAAGGTGCTCTGAATTCGTGTATAGTTGTAATAGTGCAATTGTATTTATTTATTCTACGATTGCTTCTGTGAGTATGTGGGTGTTGTTTTACTTGAAGAACTTGGTCCTTCTTGTACATAATTTGACACATTGTAAATAAGAACAACCACTTTATTAATTGCAGTTGTGTCCCCCAAGACTCGTTGTTTTGATTTTATGACAGATGATTAATGATTTAAGTTTTTATGAAATTTCTGTTCACTTATAAAAACTGTTACTCATGCGAACAAATTATAGACTTAAATAAGCAAAATGGTTATTGAGTTCATAATATATTATGATCTCAATAACCATTTTTTAAAACCCGACTGGTTATAAAAACCTTCCACCTCCCTTTTCTCGTATTTGCAGATGCAATATATAAATTTTATACAGCCTATGTCACTCGACATACAGTATGTAATTGGCCTTCTTCCTCAAATTTTTTCATGTATTACTTAATGATTTTAGCTGTAAGTTTTTCAATATGATAAATTAAATAAAAAATAAATAAAATACATACATACATGATAGATATAATCTCTTAAAACATTACCCTCCTTTTGAGGCAGTCGGGTAAAAAGTTTTCATGCGTTTATTGAATAAAATAATCCTATAATTAGGCCGTATAAACTATTTATCTTCACATTGACATTATATTATTTTGATACGTAACTATGAAATAAGTCACTTTTCCCTTGTTGTATTAAGTAGCACGTCTACATATTTTTGATTATTCAAAATACCCAAAGCTACGATCCTATATCACGTGGGTATTTCGACTGAAATTAGGTAACGTAGTTTGGAAGTCATTCCATTACAGTCTATAAAAGTCCACTGCTGAATACACACCTACCCCATAAATTACCCCGTAGGGATTTCGCCATAGTTGCCATAGTTGGCAGGCCAGTTTGGCAACCGCATTTTTTTAATATTATATGCCTTAAGCGCAAAGCGCGTAGGTATGTTCTATTAGCGCCTAAAATCAAGATTCCAACGTTTTGTCGCATAAAATCGTATCTAACAATCTTATTGAACATATAAAAAGCACATTGTCAGAAAGATAAATGATTGTTGAACTTAGTAATTTTTTTAAATCGATTAATTGCTATTTTTACGTAAAAAAGTCGTGTTAGTGGTTTATGGTGTAGATTTTTCAAGTCCGCATGTAGTGATACACGATAACTTTTGAAAATATCAATTGTTTAACTGAATCTATTTTTTAATCTCTTCATTAATTATAATTTTTTTTCGGCGAAGAAATCCGGAAATTTTCGGTGTTTTAGCAGCCTTGTAATAATTTATTTTACTAAATAGACTACCTCACTCACTCACTTCGGCGTCAGCCGCCGTCGTGAGTGGATACTGTATCGGTTGTTTGCAGCGGCTCAATAAGATCGCTGTACAAATACAAAATATTCGAAATACCAAATTTCATACTTGACTATTATAATAATCAGATTTTTATTACAATATTTTAGAATAAATAACAGTACATCACACACATCCTACGTACTAAAAGTAAGTAGGATGTATATATTTAAGTATATTTGTATTTAATACTGAAATTTGAGGTCTCGCAGATTCTCACGAGACATAGATGCTTTCGGAAGAGACTATGGGGGAAGTGAAGCTTTGCGATACGATTACGTGTGCTCGTGGTGAGGCTCTAGATGATGGCAAGCACGTGCTGCGGGAAAGTGAGATGTACCTTGACCTAAGATAGGAGATAATGGATCGGGAAGTCTGGTGAGCTCAGATGCGAATTTTTTTAGGCTGCATGAGTTCGTGCATCAATGGCAACAGATGCGTAACAGATTCAATCGCTTATGGTACGGTTTAACCCGGAACCAAAGCAGTGCTTGTCTTGTCTTAGTCCAGAATGGGCGAGTGGCGTAGTTGGAACAAGGACTAGATTAAGTAACTTTTAGCAAATCAAGTAATTGCATGTACTTTTCCGGCCGTGAAAATTAAACAACAATATGATAACGGTATTATACAATACACACTTGAATAAAGTATCGCGGGATGAAATTCCTTTTCAAAAAATTTCAAAGAACGAAAAGACCTTTGCGTTCCAACTGACATCTGGACAATCTGAAAAATATATTTTAACTAATTACAAAATACATTCTTTTACACGGAGAGGATAAATACGCTTAACTATATTAAATTTACCGTATTTTGAATAACTACCTAAATAACCGAATAGTGAATATATACCATTTAAGAAGGATATTAAACAGTGATCGACAGCAGTATCTTCCTGCCTTAAAATAATGAAAGACTTCGATTGCCAACCCTCCTGCCAAGCAAAGACACCCGTGGCAAATATCCTTCCTATGTAGCAATCTATGGAGGACACGTATATATCACAATAGACTTTAATAGGATGTGGTGATGGTGATTATAAAACAGAACAAAACTTGTATCCAATACTGCAGAATTTAAGGAAAGGTCGAACAAAATATTTTACATCACTATGTCCATTTTGTTTCTTTATATTTGTGTTTATTTTAATTTTATTAATGTTTCTGATAGTTTGTGATAGTTTCTGGGGGTGGTGAATAATAATCTTAGAAGTAAGTGGTGCAGGCATTCAGTAGTAGGATAATGTGCTGTGAAAATAGCAATGGTTGTGGCAAGTTAGGGGTTCCTTACAATGATCAGAAAATATGCAACAATTTACGTAACTAACATGTGTTTAGTTTTACTTATTGTTTGTTTCTTCTATTTTTTACGTTTAAATATGGTTTAGATTGATATAAGTATGTACTTTTATTTGCTATTTGTGTGACTTCGTTTGAATATTTTTGTTAATTTATGGTTAAAACTGCATTTCAGTATTTGATTGTTTATTGTCCAATAAATATTCATTACGCTTATTATAATTATTTCTGTAATTGTTGAGATAGTGTAAAATTAAAAAAAAAATACATAAATACAACTCCGTTTTCATCAAATATAATGATTTAATAATAATTATATTACAAATACTTCAAAAACGTAGTATTATGTACCTATTTAAAAGCGTTATAAATCCGTGAAGAAGAGCATCTAAACACTTGTGTAATCCAGTGACGTGGCAGGAGCAAGAGGCCCGGGCGGAAAATTTTAGGAAGTGATATTTTGGGAACGAAAATTTAAAAATGTTTTTTTTAAGTTAAATGAAAGCCCTCTATTTAACTTTTAAAATGATGATAATAAATAAAACTGACGTCTTACTCAATACGGTTGAACGTGTACGTGATATTGACGTGGCTGCAACCCGTGCCACGTCACTGACACATGAAGCAAATACAAGGAAGAGGTGTTGTAGTTCCACCATCGGAAAACCAGAC